CTAGACCCATCTTCAGAAAGAAGGGTCTAGGCCCAAAATGTCAGCCTTCCTGCTCCTCTGATGCTGCTTGGCCTGCTGTGTTCATCCAGCTCTACACCTTGTTATCTCAGTTTCTCCAGCATCTGCAGTTCCTACTATCTCTGAATTTTATTTACCTGTATTCATTTTAAGTACAGCCAATTCTATTTCCAAATGCTATTAAATTGGCCCAGGAAATCGCTTTGGAAGAAAGGGAGAGCCCAATTATATAGCTTGGTTTTAGGGAATAATCCTTTGTGATACTGATGTCCCAGATTTGTTCGTGTGAGTTTTAGCAGGCTTGGAGCAAGTACTTTGGACCAGTGGTTTCCAAAGTTCACGATCAACTCTGGATTCCTCATTTAGTTTTGGATCCGTTGTAGACTAACGGATAAAGACTAATTGCCAGGTTCAATTAATGTTTCCCATAAGATTGCCAGAATAGCAGAGGGTGAACTAGATGGGCCTATGTGTTACCTCACAATAGTGCATTCTATTTTCAATACAATGGGAAATCAGCTAATGATTTACAGCACAGAAAAGACACCTAGCTATGAAATAATTGGTACCGTAAGTTTTGGTATGTTATAAAATGTAAGCAATATTCTTTGAAGAGCAGCACACCTTCATCATCTGTTGTATGATTAAATCAAATGGGATGCCGGATGACAGATTAATTTCAGCAGGTCTTTTCTTTATAATACTTTAATGGATTCTGATAATGACCTCATAATGGTTGATTATTGAATAATGTGTGAGAAGCTGCTAAAAGATTCACAGTAATGATTGTATATGAGTTTTTAAAAAAAGACTCGTTGAACCTGTGATCAAAGGACGCTGGTTATTAGAGAAAGCTAGAAACTAAAAGTTATTGTACAAGTACTTTTTTTCCTACTTGTTTTAGATAATTGTCACAAGTGTCAGCTTCCTTATATTCCGCGCCAAATGGATGATCCATCTTGGCCTCCTCCAGTGGTCCCTGACAACATTTCCGGCAATAGTACTGAAGACTTGTGCTCCAGAACTTGCCGCTTCCTTACCCAAGCTGTTCCAGTACAGTTACAACACTGGCATCTACCTGACAATGTGGAAAATTGCCTGAGTATGTCCTGTACATTAAAAAAAATGCAGGACAAATCCCCAACTCTGTCAATTATCACCTCATCAGTCTACTGTTGATCATCAGTAAAGTGATAGATTGTGTCATCAACTGTGCTATCAATCAGCGCGTGCTCAGTGTCGCCCAGTTTGGGTTCCGCCAGGGCCACTCAGCTCCTGACCTCAATGCAGCCTTGGTTCAAACATGGACAAAAGAGCTGAATTCCAGAGGTGAGGTGAGAGTGACAGCCTTTGATATCAAGGCTGCATTCAACTGAATGTGGTATCACGGAGCCCTAGCAAAACTGGAATCAATGGGTATCCGGGGCAAACTCTCCAGTGGTTAGAGTCTTACCTGACATATAGAAAGATGGTCGTAGTTGTTGGAGGTCAGTCATCTCAGCTCCAGGATTTCCTCAGGGTAGTGTCCTAGAGTCTGAGAAGTGTCCTAGGCCCAACCATCTTCAGCTGCTTCATCAATGACCTTCTCTTCATCATAAGGTCAGAAGTGGGGATATTCGCTGATGATTGCATAATGTTCAGCACCATGTGTGACTCCTCAGACACTGAAGCAATCCATGTCAAAATGCAACAAGATCTGGACTATATCCAGGCTTGGGCTGACAAGTGGCAAGTAACATTTGCGCCACACAAATGCCAGGCTGTGACCATCACCAATAAGAGACAATCTAACCACTGTCCCTTGACATGCAATGGTGTTACCATCACTGAATCCCCCACTATCAACATCCTGGGGGTTATCATTGATCAGAAACTCAACTGGACTCAGCACATAAACACAGTGGCTACCAGAGCCAGTCAGAGATTAGGAGTACTGTGGCGAGTAACTCACCACCTTACTCCCCAAAGCCTGTGCACCATCTACAAGGCACAAGTCAGGAGTGTGATGGAAAACTCCCCACTTGCCTGGATGAGTGCAGCCCCAATAACACTCAAGAAGCTTGCCACCATTCAGGACAAAGCAGCCTGCTTGATCGGCACTGCATCCACTAACGTTCACTCCCTCTACCACCGACGCTCCGTAGCAGCAGTGTGTACTATCCACAAGACACACTGTGGAAATTCACCAAAGATCATCAGCCAGCACCTTCCAAACACATGACCACTTCTATCTAGAAGGACAAGGACAGCAGATATATGGGAACACCATCACCTGCAAGTTCCCCTCCAAGCCACTCACCATCCTGACTTTGAAATATATTGCCGTTCCTTCACTGTCACTGGGTCAAAATCCTGGAATTCCCCCTCTAATGACATTGTGGATCCATCCACAGCAGGTGAACTGCGGCAATTCAAGAAGGCAGCTCATCACCACCCTCTCAAGGACAAGTAGAAATGCTGGTCAGCCAGCAACACCCACATCCCACAAAATGAATAAATAAAAAAATTATGATCTAGAATGCAGTGCCTGAAATGCTAGTGAAGGTAGATTTAACGGTAACTTTCTAAAGATAATTAGCAAAACATTTGAAGGTTTAAATGATTGTGCAGGACAATGGGAAAGAGCAGAAGAATCGAACTAATTAAAGAGCTCTTTCAGAGTGTTAGTAGATTCACAATGGAGTGTGAATAACCTTCAATGCTATAAGGTTCAGTGGAGGCTACATTAGTAAGAAAATATGAATGTTGATGTGATTAACTCTTCCCCCTCCTCAAACTAGTCCCTTAAACTTAGTTTATTGTGCTGTGTGTGACCAGAACTAAACGTGCTACAAAGGACCCAAATTTGATTGAGGCTTAAAGGGGTATTGCTTTCTGACTGGAGTAGATGCTGGAACTATTTGTGGAAATGATGGGGTGATCTGTGGCAAACTCACCTCAAAGTTAATACTAAGGTTGTAAACAGTCTGGTATAGCCTCATCCTGTGGCTGTGGAGAGAGGTGGAATCTGTGGATAGGAAACAGTGTTTGCAACGTGGAATAAATGTGATGGCTTCTGTCTTCCCAGCACTTAGAAACAATTACTGCTCATCCAATGCTGAACATGTAGTCTGACTGCAATGAGACGATGGAGTGTTAAAGAGAGGTGACATTGAGAGAGAGCTGGATAGCATCAATTATATACCATCGATGCTCATTCACAATGTAGTGTTCAACTCTGAACACCTGACTCATGAATAG